CTGCTGGGCACAAGCTCCATTTCAAAGGCAGGATGTGCAGCTCAGGTCTTCCTTGTGTTATTCTTTGTATTTGTAGAGTTACTGTTTCTCACCATCATGGCTCATGACCGCTTTGCAGCCATCTGCAGGCCCCTCCATTACCCTGTGATTATGAGCCCTCGGCTGTGTGTCCACAGCACACTGGCCACTGTGCTCAGCGGGATCATCTATGCAGCACTGCACACCATCAACACCTTCAGGCTGCCCTTCTGCCACTCGCATGCTGTCCAGCAGCTCTTCTGTGACGTCCCCTCTCTGCTGAAGCTGTCTTGCTCTGACACCTTCAGCAACCAGATCTCGATTTTTGTCTCTGCTCTGGTGGTTGGTGGCGGCTCTTTCATTTATATCATCAAGTCTTATATTCACATCTTTTCTACTGTGCTCAGGTTTCCAGTGGGAGTAGACAGGAAAAAGGCCTTTTCCACCTGTGTCCCCCACATCCTCGTGGTGTCTGTCTTCCTCAGCTCTTCCTTCTATGTCTACCTGAGACCCCCTGCAATGTCTGCTGGTGTCAAGGATATGGTCCTGTCTGTGTTCTACTCAGTAATTCCTCCCCTCTTCAACCCTATCATCTACAGCCTCAGAAATGAACACATGAAGGGTGCCATCAGGAAACTCATGGCAAGAAGGTTGTATTCAGGAAATATATTGAGAATTAAGGAGGCTTTTCCAATCCAGCTTAGTCATAGTCATGCTTTTCACAATTAATGCAGATAAGTGATTAAAGTTAATCAATACCATTTGTGTGAATTTAATACTTAGGTCTTATGAACATATCATATAACAGCATCAGTGGATTCTAAATTGTTCTGATAAGTTTAATATAGGCAAACAATAGGTAAAAGAGCTGGTTACTGCAGAAGAAATCTAAATTTTTTGACATCTCAATTTTCCCCCTGAAGTTTCCTGTGTTCAAAAATGCTGCTTTCAAGAAGTGAGGAGATTATGAGAACGCTACACTAACCAGCATTTAAAAATGTGTAAAAATGTGTGTAACGACGTCTGGAGAACGTGGAATATGAAACATGGTGCTAAAGTCCTCACAGAGTATATGGATCAAGCCCTCTCCTAATGAAGCAGAGATTGAATGAGAGAATAAGAAGGATGGGATGTAACACAATAAAAAATCTAAGATGCACATTAGGAAACACTAGGAGAAAATATAGCAGAAGTAATATGGAAATATTCAGTCCTTTTGTCTTGCTTAATTACTCATTTTAAGAGACAAAATTTATAAATTCATCATGTACTATATATTGTATTGAAATGTGCATGTATTTCAAGGAAGATGTTGTGAAAAATTGGTAGTGGAGCTAGTAAACTCCAGTAAAGAAGCAGCCATGTTAATTCTTAGGTTACAGAGGAGCTATGGCTGCTCTCCCCAAAGCCTCCTCCCTGTGTTCTCTGGAGCCCCTCACAGCCTTGGGGAGCCTGGGCTACAGGCATGTGGGGCCCCAACTCTGCTCTCTCGTTAGAAGTGTGTGTTCCTGGGAAGCCTCACCCTGGCCCAAACTGGCTCTTGCCTTTTGTCTCAGATTCTCTCTCATTTGTACAGTTATCATATGAAAAACAAGAAACAATTTACCAATAAGGAAATTTATTGTATTAGGTTATAAGTACTATCCTTATTTTTATTTCACTCATTTCCTTCATCAGAGTGTGAGGTGGACTGGGATTTTATATATATATATATATATATATATATCCCTTTATAACCTTGACAGTAATGGTACTTATTCAATTTATGCTCTTTTATGGAGCACAATTACTAATGTTGGTTGTTATTGCCAGTTGAAAACTAAAAAGGGTTTCAGTCTACAGAAAGATTTATATGAAAACATGGAACTTTAATGACAGATCCTGAAGAATATAGATCACCTGGCAAAATGTTAAATTTCCTCTAATTAAATAGTTTAAAACTATCATAGATATTGATGGAAGAAGAGAAAGTGTTTAAAACAGTACTTTTAAACAAAGTGGAAGAAATTATGTTTACAATTTGTGTGTAACTGTCTTTGTATACAACAAGCAAGATTAAAAATAATTGTCAGAAAATATGGAAAGATAAAATATGAGTGTAAGATGAAAATAAAATAGTTTTTCTTTTTTTTTATTTTTACAAAAAGTTTATTCTCTTAAATCCAATGCATTCAAAGGGTGTTAACATTTTAAATGTTCATCATTTCCACCAACTGCAGCGTTATCTAAGTAAACCCAAATCACTTTTATCATAGATGTAGCCAATGATTATTAATTCTTTTTTTAAAGGACCTAAACTCCAAAATTTTAGCACAGGTAGCTTTATTGTATGCTT